CGGCCCGTGTGCTCTCATCGCTCACTGATAGACTGCTTCCTTCCTGTGTGCTGTCTCTTCCTCTCGCCGTTCCTTCTCTTTCTCACAGTGGAGGGCTCATCGGCCATCCAGCTGTCAACGTCCGCTGTGTGCTAAATGACGGTGCTTCTCATGCCCCCTCGTGACTCTCTGTGAGTCCTCTCATTCACTCTTCCACGTCGTCCTGTCTCTCTGCTCCCCTCCCTCCCTCCCTTCTCTTCCCTCCAGTGGCGGCCTCATCGGCCATCCAGTGGTGAACATCCGCTGTGTGCTCAACGACGGTGCTTCCCACGCGGTTGACAGCAGTGATCTGGCATTCAAGCTCGCAGCTCTCTACGCCTTCAGACAGGTGCATGCAGCTATGTACATATACCTATTGTAGATTCGTATATCTATTTATATATGCCCTCTCCTCCTTCCCCCCCCAAACCGCCACTGTGTTCCTATCCTACCTACCCTTACCCCTTGCCTCTCATGCCTTACACCTGCCTTCGCAACCCCATACCCCCCATGCAGTGCTATGAAATCACCGGTGGAGTCCTGATCCTTTTTCACACCTCCGCACCACTCCCAACCACTACGTCTCCTCTACTCCTCAACCCCTCCCTACCCCTCCCGTGCAGTGCTATGAGAAGGCGCGGCCTGTGATTCTCGAGCCTGTGATGGCAGTGGAGGGAGGTGACAGCACTAGTGGAGTTCTGATCCCTCTCTCACACATCCCCACCACCCCCAACAACCCTCAACCGCCCTCAACCACCACTAACCACCTTCAACCTACGTCTCCTCAACTTCCGTGCAGTGCTATGAGAAGGCCCGGCCAGTCATTCTCAAGCCCGTGATGGCAGTGGAGGTGAAAGCACCGATGGAGTTCTGATCCCCTCTCCCACATCTCCCCACCACCCTCAACCACTCCTGACTACCCCCAACCTACTCCTCCTCATTCCGTACCCCCCCGTAGCTCGTAACCCCCTTTCAGTGCTATGAGAAGGCCCGGCCAGTCGTTCTGGAGCCAGTGATGGCAGTGGAGGGAGGTGAAGGTTCCGATGGAGTTCCCATTTCCTATCTCTCTCGCACCTCCCACCTCCCCACACCTCCCACCTCCCACCTCACCATTGCAGTGCTATGAGAAGGCACGGCCTGTGATTTTAGAGCCCGTGATGGCAGTGGAGGTGAAGGCTCCAGTGGAGTTTCAAGGAACGATCATTGGGAACATCAACAGGTGAGAACTGAGGAGAAAGGTTTGGGAATTTTGTAAGAATGTCTCACATACAGAGTTGAGCATACATTTTTGGTTGTGAACAGTGAAGCAGAGTGGCTCCACCTGATGTTGTCATGTTGCATGATTGAGAAGCTTCTTTTCTTTCTTCCTTCCTTTCTTTCTTACACACAAAAAAAAAAAAAACAACAACAAAAAAAAAACTTTTGTTCTTTCTATTCTGGTGTCCCTCTGCATTCATGTGTGTGTGTTTGATTGCCAACTGCCTCTGTGTGTCTGTGCATGTGCATGTGTATGTGTGTATGCATGAGCAATCATGATCAGGCGCAAGGGCATAATAGTGGGCAGTGAGCAGGATGGGGACGACATAACCATCAACGCTCAGGTGTGTTCTGATAAACACCAATTTGGGTTACCATCAACGCTCAGGTGGGATACTATCAAGGCCCAGATTTGACCTTTGAGTCGAACCAAAAATGTGTTTATGCATGCGCAACCATAATCAGGCGCAAGGGCATTATTGCGGGCACTGAGCAGGATGGGAATGATGTCACCTTCAACGCTCGGGTTTGTTACCAACGCTTCCTTAACTCTCCCTTTTATCCTCTCCCATTCTTTTCTACCGTGCCCCTCTGTTTCTTCCCCCCTTTTCCCCTTCTCTCCTAACTGCAGGTCCCACTGAACAATATGTTTGGCTACTCCACTGACCTTCGCTCCATGACACAGGTGCGCGCATGGGATGGGTGGAATAGCATTGGGATGGGTGAGAGGAATATATGATGGTATATGGTGGTGATGGTGGTGGTGGTGGTGGTGGAAGGAACATCGGTGCAACACAATATGGTATGGGCTGAATAGAATCATGGCATTAGGTCCGTGAAGTGACATGGGATTTGCAAAATGGCATGAGAGTGGTAATGCCATCATGAGATATTAGTATATGACATGGCACAGCGATGGTGATGCACTGCAGCAGTAATGAATCGATGTGATATGTTTCCATAAAGCATAAAAAAATGACACATGGGTTCTCTCCTTGGGGGTTATGGAGATTTCGTTGGGGACCCTCGTCTTGTGCTTTGACGGTTTATGCCTGTGGCTTACCTGAATTTGTGCATGCTATGTGCAACAGGGTAAAGGGGAGTTCACTATGGAGTACTGGCAGCACAGTGCCGTGCCTCAGGATGTGCAGCAGCAGCTGGTGTCCGAACACAAGAGGGGAGGGCACTAGTATTTGCTGTCCATATATGGTGTATTGAGGAACTCACTATAAAGCATTGGCAGCATATTACCATACTTCGCATGCACGGTACAGCTACGGCTGGTGTAGGAGCAGAAAAGAGGAGGGTTGTGCTGCAACTACAGCAATCAAGCATTGGCCCCGCTGAATTAATCAGGGTTAAAAAATCACTCGAATCTGAAAAATCAGGGGACAGGAGCTCAAATCAAAGGTCTGATTCGTCAGATTAACGTCAGATTAATCAAACTATTCAGTCGAGAGTGTCAGCCCTGGGCGGATGGAAGGAGTGAGGCAGTGAAACACTTCATCCCTACGTGGTCAGGTAGCGTAATGATCCAGAAAAAAACTTTTTGTTACTAAATAAAGAGACTAAACTATGTATTTTGGAATGCATTTTATCTTGAAGATCGTATCGCTCCATAACCTTACAGGGTGGTTCTAAAAACGGTGAGAAGCGATACAGCTCGGTCTAGCGACATCACGAAACCCACAATCCCCAAGATAAGGCAATCCACTCACCATAACGACCCCCGCCGCACCACCCGCCGCTCAACCCGCCGCTCCACTCGCGTAGCTCGTCACCTCACCGGGCCCTCCACGCTCCACGCGCCCCGCTTTCCACCGCAATCGAGACGCTTATTGCGCATTCCTGTCCCTAATCGTCGCCATCGTTTCGCTGAGTACTCACCGTGCCGGAGGGAAAAACAGACGAATCTTTTAGGACGCGGTAAAAGTAGAGAATCGATCGCCTCAAGATCATTTTTTGGCGCGGTTGTAAACGGTTGTGTACTTTCCGTATGCAAAACGCAAGGTTTTAGTGCGGTGACAGGATCGATCTCCCCCCGATCGAGCACTTTTACCGCGTCCTTAGTCGACTCGGAAACAGTTTCGTTTTTTTTTTTTTTTTTTTTTTCTTTTTGTTGCATCGACTCGAAATAGTTTCGTTCGGTGCTATCCACCGAGGCGGAGGGGAAGAACAGCGTGGGGGCGAGGAAAGGCGACGCGAGGCGAGGAGAGGAGAGGAGAGGAGAGGAGGGATAGCAGGGAACTGGGAGAAGAGAGAGGGAGCCTGCCGCTCAGTTAAATAGGCGCATGCACAGCTCTGCTCGTTTCGCGTGCTGCTAGGCTCATTCACAGCTCTGCTCGTCGTTTTTTTTTCTGCACGTTTCTGCATGCTGCTGAATCGCAATCGCGGCAATCGCGGAAATCGCGGAATTCGCGGAAGTCGCGGCAATCGCGGAAATCGCGGAAATCGCAGAAGGTCGGGATGATTCGCGCGCTGCGCATGGTGCGCGACGCGTGGGTGTTCTTCACGGGGAAGGGAGATACGGAGCTGGCGCGACAGACGAAGAGATTGCAATTCGAAGCCGCTAAGGTGAGGTGAGGCTTCTCAAAGCAGTACGAGAGGCACCTGGTGCTGTAAAAAGCGGTGAGGATTGGTCGTGTGGGATGCACGCGTGGGTGCTCCTCACGGGGAAGGGGGATTCAGAGCTGGCGCGACAGACAAAGAGATTGCAATTCGAAGCCGCTAAGGCGAGACGCACACAGTAGAGGCATCTGGTCCAGTACGAAGCGGTGAGGGCCGGTCGTGTGGGATGCACGCGTGGGTGTATTTCACGAAAAAGGGGGAGTCGGAGCCGCTAGGGCGAGCGAGACACGCACTCTTATGCGCACGCGCACGAGAGGCGACTGGTTCAGCAGTGGTACTGAGAGCAGCATCCGCACAGCACACGAGTGCAAAGTGAAGCCCTCAAGGTGAGACTTGTCAAAAGAGGTGACTTTTGAGTCGACTCAAAAGTCACGAGATGCGTCTGGTTCAGCAGTGGTACTGAGAGCGGCATCCGCACAGCACAGCACACGAGTGCGTGCAAAGTGAAGCCCCTAAGGTGAGACTGGTCTAAAGTAGCGTGCTGGATCGCAAGGGGCATGAGGAATCACATGAGGAATCATGTGGTTCCGCCGGACTTGAAGAATTCTTAAAAGGGCCGGCATGTCTCTGAGTGGCTGCAGTGAGAAGCGACGCGGCGTGTCGGAGAGAATTAGTTTCAGGCAAAATAAGTCTTGGGCGGAATTGGTGTCGGGCAAAATAGGTGTCGGGCAGAATAGGTGTCGGACAGAATAGGTGTCGGACAGAATAGGTGTCGGACAGAATAGGTGTCGGACAGAATAGGTGTCGGACAGAATAGGTGTCGGACAGAATAGGTGTCGGGCAGAATAGGTGTCGGACAGAATAGGTGTCGGACAGAATAGGTGTCGGACAGAATAGGTGTCGGACAGAATAGGTGTCGGACAGAATAGGTGTCGGACAGAATAGGTGTCGGGCAGAATAGGTGTCGGACAGAATAGGTTTCGGGCAGAATAGGTGTCGGGCAGAATAGGTGTCGGACAGAATGTTCGTGAAACTGTGTTTCTCTTGGTTCCCTCCTCCTCTTCTCCCCTCGTCTCCCCTCATCTCCCCTCTTATCCCCTTCCAGCAGGTGGTGGAGGAGATGCAGCCGCTCGTTCGCTCTTGCTTCTCCTCCGTGTATGAAGATTTGTTTTGAAACGTCTCAAAAGCAAATCTTCTCTTGGTTCCCTCCTCCTCTACTCCCCTCGTCTCCCCTCTTCTCCCCTCGTCTCCCCTCTACTCCCCTCGTCTCCCCTCTTCTCCCCTTGTCTCCCCTCTTCTCCCCTTGTCTCCCCTCTACTCCCCTCGTCTCCCCTCTTCTCCCCTTCCAGCAGGTGGTAGAGGAGATGCAGCCGCTCGTTCTCTCTTCCTTCTCCTCCGTCCCTCTTCTCCGATCTTATCCCCACTCTGCTCAGCTGAGGGCGCTGATAGTGGCACAGCAGCAGCAGGAGGAGACGGCATTGGAGCATGTGAGGCGAGTAGTGGGGGAGTGTTTGCTTGCTCACTCTGTTGGCACCGTCTCTCCTTCTGAGTCGACTCAAAAGCCGTCTCTCCTTCTGAGTCGACTCAAAAGCCGTCTCTCCTTCTGTTCTGAGTCGACTCAAAAGCCGTCTCTCCTCCCTCTGTTGCACGTGCCTGCGCCCCCATTTCCTCCTCAGCTGAGGGCGCTGCGGGTGGCACAGCAACAGGTGGTGGAGGAAACAGCATTGGAGCATGTGAGGCGAGTGGTGGGGGAGATGCAGCAGCTGAAGCAGCAGCTCGATGGCATGGTGAGGGGTGGGAGCTTGGCGAGGGGTGGGGGGATGGTGAGGATGGTGAGGGATGGGAGTATGGTGCATAGTGAAAGGTGGGATGGTGGTATCATAGGACAATCGATGACACTCAGATTGCAGGGTTGTCTGGTAACACGTTACACACCCGCAAGACTTGTAACACTCACACATCGTTTTTGAGGCGCCTCAAAAAGGTTGCCTCATAAGACAACGGTCTCTCTGTAACACACGCGCGCCATGTCACGCCTTGCCTCACACTCGCCTTGCATCACACTCGCCTTGTTTCACACTCGCCTTGTTTCACAATCGCCTTGTTTCACAATCGCCTTGTTTCACACTCGCCTTGCATCACACTCGCCTTGTTTCACACTCGCCTTGTTTCACACTCGCCTTGTTTCACAATCGCCTTGTTTCACACTCGCCTTGCATCACACTCGCCTTGTTTCACACTCGCCTTGTTTCACACTCGCCTTGTTTCACAATCGCCTTGTTTCACACTCGCCTTGTTTCACACTCGCCTTGTTTCACACACGCCAGACAACCATGTCTACCGCGACCACTACCACGTCAGGTGAAACGGGGTGACTTTTAGGGTCTACTGAAAAGGCGCGTCAAAAAGGTTGCCTCATAAGACAAGGGTCTCTCTGTAACACACGCGCGCCATGTCACGCCTTGTGTAGCAAGTTGATTTTTTAGTCGACTCAAAATCGGCCATTTCACGCCTTGCCTCACACTCGCCTTGCCTCACACTCGCCTTGCCTCACACTCGCCTTGTTTCACACACGCCGGAAAACTATGTCTCCCATGACCATTACCACGTCGCATGAAATACCACGTGAAAAGAGGGTCTCGAAAACTATGTCTACCTACCACGGCCAATACCACGTCACGTGAAATGCCATGGTAACGAGGTGACTTTTGAGTCGACTCGAAAGTCATCACGTGAAATGCCACGTGAAAAGAGGGTGTTTTTGAGACGTCTCGAAAACTATGTCTACCTACCACAACCATTACCACGTCACGTGAAGTAAGGCTGTTTTTGAGACGTCTCACGTCTTATTCCACGTGGTTAAACTATGTCCACCCTCACTGCCCTCTCTGTGGCTGCCCTCTCTTGTCGACCAATGACTGCTGTCCACGTGGCAGGAAGAAGCAGCAAAGGCTCTGGCAGAGAGTGTAGCGGAGCAGGCTAAAGCGAGGATGCAGCAAGAGGAGGAGGAGGATGACCGGCGGCTGCTGCAGACTATGGACCAAACTGCACTCGAACGGCTGCTGGGGTATGGGAGAGAGGAGACGGGAGCGAGTGGGAGGCAGGAAAAGGACGGCGGTGGGAGTGGCAAGTGATTGATGAATTAAGAGGAGGATGAAGGAGGAGGAGGATGGAGGAGGACGACGACAGGCGGCTGCTGCAGACTATGGACCAAACCGCACTCGAACGGCTGCTGGGGTATGGGAGAGAGGAGACGGGAGCGAGTGGGAGGCAGGAAAAGGACGGCGGTGGGAGTGGCAAGTGATTGATGAATTAACAGGAGGATGAAGGAGGAGGAGGATGGAGGAGGAGGATGACAGGCGGCTGCTGCAGACTATGGACCAAACCGCACTGGAACGGCTGCTGGGGTATGGGAGAGAGGAGAGGGGAGTGGGCGGGAGGCAGGAAAAGGTTGGTGGTGGGAGTGGCAAGTGATTCATGCAAGAGGATGAGGAGGATGGAAGAGGAGGAGGAGGATGACCGGCAGCTGCTGAAGACTATGGACCAAAGTGCACTGGAATGGCTGCTGGGGTATGGGAGGGAGGAGACGAGAATGAGTGGGAGGCAGGAGAGGGATGGTGGTGGGAGTGGCAAATGATAGGATGCAGCAGCTGGGAGAGGATGCAGCAGGAGGAGGAGGATGACCGGCGGCTGCTGCAGACTATGGACCAAACTGCACTGGAACGGCTGCTGGGGTATGGGAGAGAGGAGACGAGGCAGGAAAAGAGTGGCGGTGGGAATGGCAAGTGATTCATGCAAGAGGATGAGGAGGATGGAAGAGGAGGAGGAGGATGACAGGCGGCTGCTGCAGACTATGGACCAAAGTGCACTGGAACGGCTGCTGGGGTATGGGAGAGAGGAGACGGGAGCGAGTGGGAGGCAGGAAAAGGACGGTGATGGGAGTGGCAAGTGATCCATGCAGCAGGTGGGGAGAGGATGGAGGAGGAGGAGAATGATAGGCGGCTGGAGGATGGAGGAGAAGGAGCAGGAGGAGGAGGATGACTGGCGGCTGCTGAAGACTATGGATCAAAGTGCATTGGAACGGCTGCTGGGGTATGGGAGGGAGTTGTCGAACGCAGACAGGTGGGCTGCGGAGGCCTTACGTCCATCAACTTGTATGGTGATTTAAAACGACGAGACAGACCCCATGGAATGGATGGATTTCCTGGTTAATGTCACCCCCCGGATAAGCCCCCATGGGGGGGTATAATAAAACATGTTTTTGTAGGGGGGTGGGCTTATAATCGAGGATTTTTATAAGCGCCGGGGCTTATATAATGACATATATGAAATCTAGTTGTTTTCACTCCAAAGTGTTCATCTTGTCATTGCGATTTCAATCGAGTCAAGATCATAGAGGGTTGTGAACAAGAAACTCGCGTAAGTTTGCAAGCTGCCAACACACACAGTCATAATGAGTCATTTCGCCCCATGACAGCTCATTCTGACTGGACGCGCAGTCAGTGAGTCGCGCGAGGGTGAGGCAGTAAGTCGCGCAAGGGTGAGGGTCGAAATTTCAAAATGTCATGATGCAAATAGTGTGTTTCCCTACAGAGATTCCAGTAACTTTCTAAAAACTAATACAAATGGTGGCTCTTATAATCCGTAAGCCATTTGGGTATGCGCTTATAATCGAGGAGGGGATATAAGCGCCATACGCCAATTACAAGCGCCAGGCGCTAATCCCAGGGTGGTGCTTATATCCGGGGGGTGACGGTAACTGTGAGCTTAGAGCGTTGTCTTAGAGAGCCAGTTTAAACAAAACGTCAACTTAATCCAGCACTTGCGTAAACTAGTTTCGGTTCTTGCGAACCTTCATCAGTACATACAAGCCTGAGAATACGGTAAGAATCTGAAATGAATAGACTAGCTAGAGTACTCTACGCTAAAGCTCAGCTAACCAGAGATGGATGAAATGACGAGCGAGTGATGAGGCAATGAGTGAGATGTAATCTCGAGGTAAGCAGACAGCTTCGACCCGATCCTTCGGAACCCAAATTGGAGTCTTCAGGAAGGCTGGTAACCTGGGTCAAAATGTCGCGCGCAAAAGTTCAGGTGCGAAGAATTTCGGCTGTAACAGGTCGCATCCTCGATTGTATCAGCCTTCGACGTAAGCTGTGTCAGATTTATATGACATAGCTGTTGTAGGCTATAGTGTAGCACATATGGGGTACGACTTTCTAGGGTTTGTACTTGTACCCAACTTTCCCTTAGTCAATTCATTCTCGTTCATTTTCTCATGGTATCGAGCAGGTTCCCCTGTGGGAACTGTTCCTAGGGCCCACCAGCTTTTTTCCTACCCGGAGCGCGCTCTACTCTGCCCGAGTCGCGCTCCCCTCTTTCGACCCTGACGCGCCGCCTTAGCGGCCCCGTCGCGTCGCGCTTGCGGCCCCGTCGCGTCGCCCTCGCGGCCCCGTCACGTCGCGCCGCCCTAGCGGCCGCGTCGCGCCGCCCTCGCGGCCCCGATCCGCCGCCCTCGCGGCTCCGTCGCGTCGCATCGCCCTTCCCGGCCCCGGCGCCGCCTCTGCTGGCCCCGTCGCCTACCCTGCGGCCCCGGCGCTACCCTTCCCGGCCCCGGCGCCGCCTCTACCGGCCCTGCTGCCGTCCCCACGCGGCCCCGCCGTCCCCACGCGGCCCCGCCGTCACCACCGAGCTACTGCCGAGCCGCCCGAGCCACCCGAGCCGCCCGAGCCGCCCGAGCCGCCGCGCCACCTGAGCCGCACGAGCCGCCGGGTCGCCGAGCTGCCGAGTCGCCGAACCACCGAGCCGCCCGAGCCGCCAGAGCCGCCGAGTCGCCGAGCCGCAGTTGTTGCCTGGCCGCTGTACCGCCGAGTCGCCCGAGCCGCCGAGTCGCCGAGCTGCATTTCCTGCCGAGCCGCCCGAGCTGCCCTGTGCGGTAAGAGCAGCGCCTCTATCACTACACTGCCCTTACCCTACTGTTCGCGCTGCTAGTCTACTGCTGTCATGGCTACCCCTAGTGTCCTCCCTTTTGACGCTGAGGGTCGGGCCATTGACTTTGACGTGTGGGTAGATGACCTGCAACTTTTCGTACAGTGCGATAGGGCAGACGGTCTCTCCCTCTTTGACCTCACTTCTGGTGCCTCTCCTGCCCCTGCTGCTGACGCTGACGCCACTGTTCGCTCACAGTGGGCCAAATGTCAGAATGAGAAACGAGAATGGGGTGACTAGCAGGAACAACAGTACAAATATGTCAAACCCTAATCTGGTGTACCCCTTATGGTGTGACCCACTACAGCCTAGAACCACACAAACATATAAATGTTTGACACACCCCCATAGGCAAAGTGGGGGAGACCTAGGGGTCACAAGACCAGTCAAGGCAAAACAAGGCAAACAAGCTCAGGGTGGATCTCGAGGATTCCACACAAATTCCGAGCACAAGCAAGCGGTCACAAGACCAGTTCACATGCAGTTTTATAATAGAGCAAGAGGTACAATGATCACAACCTAACAAGGCAAACATGCAGGTATATATATAATGATCACAGTACAGGTAAAGTCAAGAAGTAAGTAAGTGAGAAACAGTCGGCACAAGGCCTAGAAGAGTGCAAAAACGCTGATGGTCAACACGCGGAAGCGCCTTAGTGAACACATCAGCAGTGTTGGCCTCAGTGGCCACGTAACGCAGAAGAAGCTGACCACGCTGCAGTAGCTCTCGAGCTAGAAAGTAACGCAGAGCAATGTGCTTCGTCCTGTGCTCCAGTCTGTGCTCCTGGCACAAGGCAATGGTTGCCTTGTTGTCGACGTACAGCACTGGAGGAGAACGAGGCTGCTCTCCAAGGTCAGTCAGCAGGTAGG